AATCCAGAAATAAGTACGTGCAGTTAAGGAATATAGCTGTTGCTGGAGGTACCAACACCAACAGTCACCACCTTGAATTGCAGTTTGTCCTTGATGTTAACTCATGTATGCACTGTATAGCCTGGACGAATGGAAGAGTATTCTGAATACCTGCAAGTTAATGTATTCAGCAAAAAAATGAGAAATAACGGAATTGGAGAGGCGGAGACCCCCCCCCCCCCCACCCCACACACAAAACCCTAAGACGAACGTTGGTGTGAGAGGCCGAAGCTACTGGACTGGATTCCACCCCTGATACTAAACTGATAGAACAGAATGGAGGAATAGATTGCGAGCCCTATGTGACACCTAATGGTACAACAGGACAATGAATATACACTCAGGTAATCTGCGTAACCCGCGCTATATCCTCTTCATGTCGTAAGGCATTCACAAGTGATCTCCATTGCTGCTGGTCTGCTGCTTTTCTGCCCATGGTATCCAATGTCAGTTTACATTCCTTAATTTCCCTTTCTATTGTCCTTCTCCAGGTTTCCTTAGGTCGTCCACGTCTCTTTTTCCCTTCTGCTGTCCACCGGAGAGCTGTTTTTGCCAAAGTGTCACAAGGTATTATGCAAACATGTCCAAGCCATCTCCATTGTCTTACTTTGATAAAATTTGCCAGTGATGCACATTCTGTTTTCCTCCTCAGTTCTTCATTTGTGATCTTGTTTGGCCAAACTATTCGTAGAATTCTCCTTAAACATTGATTTTGAAAAGTCTCAAGTTTATGTGTAAAACCTGCTGTCATTTTCCAACATTCACTGTTGTATAATAGTATTCCTAAAATGTTGCTCTTGTATATTCTGAGTTTTGTCTTCCATCTAAATCCCTTTGACTTCCACATATTGTAAAGCATGGCAAATGCTTGATTTGCTTTGTTTATTCTTGATGTTACATTCTTTTCAGAAGCTCCATCTGGAGTTACTTTACATTCAAGGTATATAATCCAAGTGAACAATGTAAAATCCTTGCCTCAAAGAAGATTTGAACACATGATCACCGAGTGCATAAGGCATACAAGTTGGCCACTGCGCTACTGAGGCTTGCAGTGTCGTCTATCCCCAACTTCAAATGCATTTATTTCTCAAGTGATGGTTGATTCGTTTATAGGTCTTCCTCTTACCCGACAAAAGAAAGGGAACCCAACAATGGCCACTTTATTCAGCTCTAGGAAGACAAAGAGACCAGCATAAAAAAAGGACTACAGCTGATTTAACTCATTCAGTATAAAGTACTGGTAGAAGTAGTAGCAGTGGCAGCAGCAGCTGCAGCAGTAGTATTTGCAGTATTTTAATCAAGTGGTAGTAGTAATAAAACCAATTATATCTGGTTCAACCCTTTTGATTTATAATTGGGATACACTGAATTTGTGTCCTTTCTGTTAGTGATGGTCTTGAAAATACTATACTTCTAAGTGGCAATCTTAGAAATACAATGCTTCCAAATGGTGGTCTAGGAAATGCTACACTTCCAAATTGTAGTTTTAGAAATAGATTGCCTCACTTCAGCCTTGCCTGTGAAACATAGAGAAAGTCAATGGGGTGCCTAGAAAAATGTTTTAAAACAAAACATCCCTGTCAACAGGCACACACTTCACAGATGTTGATGTAAATGAATCCATTTTTTTATGATCAATGAAGGACATTCAGAAGCCATAAGTTTAATTGTATTTTTTTTTAAAAGCTGTTAAATAATGTTTCTCATCAGCATAAAAAAGCAATCAATAATCTCATGATTCAGTAAATATGAACAGAGTAAGCATTATATTGAATACATTCCCATCAGCCTGAACAAAATATACAGCAGATGACTCATGCCATGACCTTGTGACCTTTATCAGTGAGGCACATGGGAACATGTGACATCAGATTGGCTTTAGAAAGCACCTGGGTGAGAAGTAAATCCTCATAAATTATATTTTTAGTTCATATATTCAAATCCTGGCCAACTAAAGACTGTGCAGGTGCACCACACAGAGCCAATGGAATTTAACTACAATATTTTAGAACAGGTTACTGCAGACAGGCCGATATGTCAGCATTTCTGGGAATGTGTCACAACTAGAAGTGACTAGATTTAGTATTCTCAGGGTGACAGGGTTTAAATATAGGGTAGCATCAAGTGCTTGATATAACCTTGAGGGAGAGAAACAGGTCTACTTTTTTAGCGTACATTAAACCAATTCATATGTATTGATTGGCACTCATAGAAAGAAGTAAAGAGATAGAAGTACACATTAGACAACATAAATTACACACAATAAAATATAATCTAGTAAAATACATATTAAATAGAATTTTTTTTAAAATTGACACTGGCTCCAAGGTTGATCCAGTCTAAATTGAGTTAAGTTGATTCAAGAACTGACATCACAGAACTCAGGGCATTCCCATAAGCGCCACGTCCCCATCTTCAGCAGCCAGTGAAGAGTTCCGATACTAATGGGGCCAGTAGTATTCTGATTAAACGTCTGTCTTGCCTTTCCTCTGAGCCTGAAGCATCTGCCAGAACCTCTCGTCACTCCTCAGTATTCCACCAAGTTGTGCAGAGCCAGATAGTCTGTCCACCTGTTCATTTCCCAACACACTGGCATTTCCCGGTGAAAAAATCCAAACAATACTCCTCACCCGTGTCTTCCACAGTGAAGCATGCCAGTCTGCACAAAGTGTGCCTGTCCTGACCTTCCTCAGCATGCTTTCTGAGTCAGATTAATTCAGTCTAAATTGGGTACCAAGTAATGTCTAGGGAAGTAAAGGTGGTCAGTGTGATGCGGAACCCACTGCCCACTGACTGCCGCTTTGTGTAGAAAAGTCTAGTAGCATTTGTCCAGTGTGCACTGGCATAAAAAAAGTCCTTTACTTTCTTTTACTTATGGTATTTACAGAAGTTTTAGATTTGTGTCACACCTTGGCCATTTAACCTTAACTGTCTTGTTTAAAGACAAATGTCGACAGCTCGTCCCACAGTATCTCCAAAACTTCTGTATTTAAATAATATTTTTTTTTAATTTAATTCTTTTCTGATTATCACTATCCTCACAGGCTCAGTTCAGCTTTCCAATTACTTGCAGATTGTCCAAGTTTCTGTCTTATATGGTAGAGTTTAGTAACACGTGTGCTGTTTGCCTCTCTTCTCTCAACACCCAAACCGGTAAAGAAAGGGGTGAAAAAGCTTACTTCTCTAGATAGTATAAGTAAAAAGTAAAGTAAAGATCCCTTTTCACGCCTTTGGGGGCATCGGGCATATGGGAAGAGCGCCCATATTTTTACAGACCAATCGGCACTCTTTGGGTAATGTAGTCAGCATTACGCCGGCCGTCTTTACTTCCCCAGGACAGCCATCCTGGTACCCATTTGAGGCTGGGTCCACCTGCGACGTCCCATACCACAATAAAAATCCACGCAGCCCGCAGTGGGTTTCCATCGCGGTACGTTGGATTATGAGTCGGACTCGCAACGCCTTAGTCACGGACACAGCCTAGATAGTATAGTAGCATTTTAACTACAAACTGCTCTATATACAAACTTTTTTAGATAAAAACTTTTTCTTATCCCATTTTGACATCTACAAATGAACCTAGATTTGAGACATGAGCTGTGACGCAATGGGTGATGTAAGCAATGCATGTTGCACATACATTGTTTTTGCTTTTTTGTGTATCTGTTTCAGTATTTTTGTAATCAAACAATATGGACTAACTTTGTTATTTTGAGCCAATGCCAGTGGTAATTTGAAGATAAAACCTCTGTTGGTTTATCAGTATGAAAATCCTAAGGTCTTTGAAAAACAAAAGGTTAACAGACACAAACTCAACTTTATGTCAAAATGGATGCTAGGCACAGCCACTGTTTTGAGCAGTGGCAATTTTGTTTTACTTCTGCCAGACGGTGGCCGTTGCATTTTTGTTCCATTTGTAGGCTGAAAGGATATAGTTTCATCGCCCAGCTTCTGAGTTTAGTGCATGGCATGACCCTATGAGCTGCCGATTTCATTTGGAATGTTTTTTGACTGTGACCAATGTGGTGGTGCGAATTGTAGATTCAGAAAATGGCACGATGCCTGTTGTCGCAATATTGGTGGTGCCATTATGTGATTAAAATTGATCGCATGTGCAACTGCTAATCAGTTGGTGACTTCTGCTACCATCCACAATGAACTGCCTTTCTAATGTTGGACTGTTTGTGTTAGCACTTCGGATGGCTACCATTTGCTTTAAATGTGTGTGTATGCTAGATATGCTAAGACAGCAGTCTGTCTATGTTTTCACAAAGGACTGTGATAATTACTGTGTGTGTTTTTTGTTGGCACAGGAGCGGAGCAACTATGGGGTGACTGTTTGCTATGAAGCTGAAACTAAGATTATCAGATTACCAGATTACCAGATCAACTTTATGTGGAAAAGTTAACAGCAGAACTTGATTAACCAGGCAGTTCTTCTGTGTGTGGATGACAGGGATCTTTGCTCCTGCAGTGAAATGGTGTTTACAGTATGCCAGGACATCCACCACAGTTGGAAAAAGATTCAGATGAAAAGTATAATTTCATCAAAATTAAGTTCTTGCCTCCTAATACCATATCATTTTTTAAATCTGAGAATGGATTAATTGATTTCCCATAATATGAAATAGGAAATTGGGTTTCGAGATGCAAACTTTTGGAGATATGAACTTCAGTCAGGGTACCATTGTAATGTTATTTTATGGTGAAATTATTATTAATTTTTTTTTTTTGCTAGATGTATTCTCACTTTAATTTGTCTGTTACTTTTGTTTTTTACATGTCCAAAGACAGGAGAAATTTGTTATCTGTTATCAACATATATGTCAACACACAGTAACTCCAGAGCTTTGTAACTGTAATAATTTTTCATGTCTGTATAAGAAAACAATCCTTACATAAATTATTTTTCAGCCAACATTCGTCAAAGAAAAATTTTTAAAAAAAGATACACTTTACAATTAACTAATGGAAATAGCACTTGTTTGTCTGAGATGTTCATCTGAGAAGGTTTCAGACAATAGTCTGGCTGCTCTTCCTTGTGCCTCTTCCAGAACCTTTCTGTGACTTGCTTCTACTGGTTTCTGAAAGTCATATTTAAAACATTACCTTTTCATTTAAATTCAGTAAGATATGCCAAACAAAACAACACACACACAAAAATTTAACAAAATAAATGCATTAAATTTAAAACCATTTCACCTAATTCAGTCATTTCAAACTGAAAATGTTAATTCAACTAGACACAAAAATACAAATTTCAATTTCAAATGAGAATGTAACGTATGACTAGAACAAGGTAAATCTTTTATTATGAGTGTAACAAACATACATACTACCACCAAGAAAATTAACACTGGCTTTTAACTTTTATTTTTGTAATTAGTTAACTTTTTCAGTAGACAATTACATTAAATACCATGTGTCTGTAAAGCCATGGTGCACATTCATGGGTGGTGGTGCTTCGTGGTGCACCACAACTTTATAGACACAGTGTATATATCAGTATAATGTATTCTTTGGTACCCAGAGAGTCAATTACATGAAATAAAAAGTTAAACTAAAGTACCCAGTTCTATAACTTAAGTCATAATGGGCATTATAATGTTAGCCCCATAGTTTATTAACAAACAGGTCACAGACTAGTCATGTAGCCAATACCATATCAGCCCCATTTAATGATAAAAAGATATTTAATATTCCTTTTTGGGCTGGGTCGACCTGAGAGCACATGTCACTTTCAAAAACAAATTTAGATAGAGATTTGGATATCTGAACACTAGGCCAACAGGCAAGCAAGCATGGTAGCTGCCGTGTTACCTTGGCTCCCGCTTAACTGTGTTAACTGGAATGATTTATCATCATGTTGTGACATAAACATCAGATAGTTCTCTCCATTCTGTTCTATCCTATATAATTCTCTTGGTAACATGGATGGAATCCAGTCCAACATTTTTGGCCTGTCTCAATAACGTTAATCTTAGGGTTTCTCTTGTACTTCCTCCTTTCATTTATCCATTTGTTTCCCATTTCAGTGCTAGTTTTGTGATTCCCTGTCCACTTTTCCTCATGATGTCCCCAATGTATTGTCATCTACATTTTTCTTAAAACTTCAGATACCGTGGTTGTCCAGACATTTTCTTATTTCCTTCAACTATTTATCCAGCCAAAAAAATGTGAACTTTACATTTATAAGCAAAATGAGATAAGAAGGGTTGCTACTAAAAGGTTATGGCATCCAACTCAGACTCAGATGTTTCAACTTCTGAACCCCAGCACAATACTAGACATTGTTATGTGAACCATATGTTTCTAGTGATCTCTCAGAGAGTCAGATAATATATTCAGCCTTGTCAGATAAGCATTAAACAAAATTAGTCTTGTAGAAGATGCTACATATATTAAAATCCCTCAACAGTTGCAAACTGCAAAAAAAGCAGGCCACAAGGCCACAACCCTGGCAACATTGTTAGTCATGTTTAAACCTACTGAAAGGAAGATAGAGCCCATACCATTCTATGGGGTCTATCTTGAGTAAGTAAGTCCTTTATAAATTTTAAATTTAGGCCTATGTCAGAATTAGACAGAATGAAGAGGGGTGCATACTAAGATGTCATTCATTGACCTTGAAAGAAGAATACTAAAGGTATTTGCTATAATATTACTCCCAACAATTATTTATGCATTGTTTTATTTAGCATACCAAAATAAATTAGATAAATGTAAGACATAGATGTGCTTACTGTTGTGAACATTCTATGTTTAGTAAGGGGTGTTTCAGAAATATGTAAACAGTAAGAATAGCAGGTATTGCTTCTGAGATGTGAAATGTCAGGCGTTTGCACACTCTCATTCATGACATGGTTAGGTAGCCAGTTCCCTTCCTTATTAACTTTCCTTCTTAGACAATTCCCAGACATTTATGAAAATTATCTGGTACACATTTTTACAAAGCTAGATTATCTTCTTTTTTTTTCTTCTTCTTCTTCTTACACTTCTTATTCTTCTGTGTTTGCCCTGAAAAGACCAGCTGGTATTTTGTGTTGCAGTTACTGTGGAGCTGTGATATCTGTGCCTTTCGAACCAACTCATCAACTTTCAGCAAATCTCTGTTTAGTCACCTTTTATGACACGCTTGTTAGGGAGCAGTGGGTCTATTATTTCCACCCAACATAGGGACCCAGCACTCACATGAGGACAAGGCTAGGTCAACCCAAAGGTCATACTGGGAAGAAAAAATGCTGCCAGTTCTGGGGATAACGGCAGTTCTAGAAATACGCACATAATTTTTTTTTAAAAGATGTTGAATTCTATAAATTATTGTCTCACCATTAATTCTATTGACTGGAATGCTATATTTGTGTAGTTTTTTCATTTTAAAAACATATACAGTCAGAAAAACAATTGAGATTTGGTAAATAATTTCTTCTATGCTCTTTTAAGTTGATATATTTGTAAAATGAACTCTATAATGAAATATCACTAACAGTTACATTTTTTTATATTCGAACCTCTACTAAAACTGTTTAAAATTTAATACACTTTTTAGTAAATCAAAATACCATTCTTGCTTTGAAACCTTCACTAGCAGTGAAAATGTTATTTATGCTTTATTTATGTTTTATTGTTTTTGTTGATTTCTTTAATACTCAGAATAGGACTAGACAGGACTAACAACATTTTCCTTAGAGTACTGAAAGGTGAAAGGAATCTGTTTTTTCACAGGTGAGATTTGCTGATGAGATGATCATAGCTAGCTTACAAGTGTGTAAGATACAATCAAAACAAACAGCTAGAATGGATGTTGCTTGCAGAAGCAGATGATCAAAGTAATTGTACTCTCAAGATGAATAGGATTATAATTTTTAGGGGTAATGCAAGTAAAGAAAGCTAGAGTTACAGATATTAATAAGTTGGATTTGCCGATAACTCAGTAACATAAGGAATAATAACTAGACTGTTCCACACAATTACATAAAGCAATAAGGTTGTATGTTTTAGAAACATATCACCTCTATGAGAATATCAACCACACAGAGTTTATTTATCATGAAACATCTTAACTTCATCTTGTATTTTCTTATATATAACGTTAGATAAAAGTAACATTAGTATTCTTAATTTAATCTTGAATTTCTTATATAAAACAATAATGTATAAGAGATATATAAACATTATAACTATAGAAAGGAATCAAATATTAGTTCAAAAAGAAAAGTAGATAGAAACTAAAGAGATATAGAAAATATTCTTTTGTTGTTGCCATCCACAGGAAATTAAGAAATGCCCAAATCTGGAGAAGAACTCATAGAAAACCAAAGAATTCATATTAAAACAAAACTAAAAAGAAGTGAAAACAGATATAGTAAATCAATTTTAAGCAACAGATTAGTATTGAATTAGCTATTATAAAAAAAAGAAATTGTTTATACATTTCTACAGCTTTTAAATGTTTACCACCTTCTGTCCCTCACAGTGACACAATTTGTTCCAAGCCTTCTGTGAAATTTCAGCTTTTTTTCTTCTTGCAGTTGAGTGAGATAAAAGCTGCTGTATTTTCTGTTGTTCTCTCAGTCTTTCTTCTCGTTTTTCCTGTACTTTTCTTTCAAGTTCGATCAGACTGTCATTTTTTAAAGGAGCAGATGTACTGATATTCTTCTTTTCCTGTTCAAGCCTGTAAGTAAAAAATAAGAAAAAAACATAACAATCAACATTCAGTTTAAACAGATGACCAGTTTTATTTTTACATTCATCACCTAATAATCATACGTTTCAACTGTTTATTGGTATCTGTCGTAGTTCAGTAGCCAGACACTTGCCTGCCAGCCTAAAGCCTTGAGTTGAGCTGATTCAAGAACCGGCATCACAGCACTTGGGGTATTCCCATAAGTGCTCCGTCCCCATCTTCAGTAGACAGTGAAGAGTTCCGATACTAATGGTGCCAGTAACATTCTGATTAAACATCCGTCTTGCCTTTCCTCTGAGCCTCGAGCATCTGCTAGAACCTCTCGTCACTCCCCACTGCATCAATCTCACCAGACTGTGGTGATCCATCTGCTCCTCCGAACTGTACACGCTCTCCCACAAGGTACTAACCACGTCTGCCTCATCATGCATCAGTATTCCACAAAGTTGTGCAGAGCCAGCCAGTTTGTCCGCCTGTTCATTTCCCAACACACCGGCGTATCTTGGTGAAAAAGTCCAGACAATGCTCCTCCCCTATGTCCTCTGCAGTTATTGCTCTAGGCTTCCCATGTTTACCCAGCTATAAATGGTTATCAGAAAATGTCCTAGAAGTAAAGGCAGCCAGTTAGATATCAAAGGCTGACTGGTCTAGAAAAAGATGGTTCTGGTGACATATGTTCTGTGTATCAGTGCCATGATACACGTGTGCAGTCTACTAACCTGTTGATTTACTTTACTATTTTATTAATGCTGTGCATTATTTATATGAGTAATATTATTACACTAGTTAGTCTTAGTTCTTATTTCATGAAAAATTAGTTGTTTTTTTTAAATTTGTCTTTTATTAAAGTTAGTTACACATGCTTTGTAGGGCACTGCAGAACCAACACCAGCATTTTTTGGCTTTTGTGGTTTTTCTAGGCAAATTCTTTGTTCACTGCTTACTGAATGGTCAGCTCTCAATACCACTGTCAAAACCAGCGCAAGACAAACCGTCCACAGCTGGAATCGAACCCAGCACTATGACGTGCATTTGCAACGCCTAAGCACTACTGGCTCCAGCTGTCAGGCCGTGCTGCTGACGTCACCGGGTTAGGCTAATGGGATAATGATGCGTTAACGCTGCGGCTCTCAAACAGGGTGCCAAAGCACTTGGGATGCCGTGAGCGTATGCCAGGGGTGCCACGGCAATAATCAAGAAAATTTGGCTAAAATTTGTTAAATTATTAAAGAAGGCATGCAGACACTCAAAAGTTAAAATTCAAGCTGTCTTCTCTCGCCACTGCCAAAAATAGTTATTTTTGTCAGAACCGCTGCGTTAACACATCGTTAGCCCAACCTGGTGACGTCAGCAGCATGGCCCATCAGCTGGAGCTGGTCGTGGCCTAAGCCACAGATGCAGATTTATGTGCCAGTGAAAATCATACAAAATATCATCCACTGTGCCATTTGCACACTGGTGAAAATAGATCAGTTCTGACAAAATCCACAAACCTGCACATGCAGAGGAAATGCATGAGGTGGCCATAAGATGTGTCAACACTAACAGACCACATCTAGAAATGCAGTTTACTGTCAATGGAAGTGGTCAACTATAATTCTTATACACACTAATGCACCATACTAGGAAACAGAAAAGTAAGTTTAAAAAAATTTCATATAAAAGAAATATTTTAAAAAATAACGCTCGACCAAAAAAAAGTCAGATTTTAAAAGAAACCAAAACAATCCACATAAAAGATTTTAAAGAAAAACAGAACAAAACAATGAGGCATTACTTGCAGGCTGCAGACTTTGTTTGTTCAGTCCTATATTTTGTAATCATATCCATCATCTCAGAAATATACTCCGCTTTGTTCTGAGGGAAAACAAGAAAATTTAAAGCCATATCTGAATTTTTTTATTAGTTCATGTGTTACCAATATTAGATTTTTTTTTTTTAACTAGAGTTACTTCTTCTTCTTCATGTTCAGGAGCTGTAACTGGTGTAGGTTCTGGTTGTTCGTCCACCTCTGGACTCTGGTCTTCAACCGGAACCTGGGTGTTGTGTGCACAACCAGTTTACAGATCTGAAATACTTTTACACGGACTGTTGGCTCCTTGCCTCTTGGGCAGATACACTGCAACTTTGAAGGAGGCCCTCAGTTAGTCGACTCTTAAACATGCTTGTTAGCGAGGCAGTGAGTCTATTCTTGTTTTCCTGAAAATGGGGCCCCAGAATCCACATAGCAATCTGGAATTATAAATTGCCAGTTTGGGAATTTCTGTTTTTTGTAACTAGTTTTGTTTGCCATTATAATGTTTAAAATATATATATATATATATATATATATATATATATATATATTCGCGTTTTGAATAAGGTACTGTTGGATGACAGTTTTAAAGATTCAAATATGCAGGTCTCATCAATTTCTTTTAAAGTTTGCAAATGCTGTTTTATTCAGTTGCTTCACTAACATCTCTCAATTCAAAGTGTTAAGGAGCATCTGGCCAAATTGTTAAGAATGCTGGACTCTCATTTGGGTAGACCTAGGTTTGAATCCTTGTTAAGGTGATGGATTTGTTACTGTGAAAAAAAAAAGGAAACAACAGAAATCCTAATCTGCACAGTCCGCTTCGACTGCACTAGCCACGCAGCACTAAATCAAGCTCAAGACCCTCTCAGTCCTACATTGCTCTAAAAATCGGTAAACACAGAACATAATGACAGATTTTTTTTATATACCAGCTGTTACAGCCACTTTTTATGTTAAAGAGAGTAATTACTTGAACTCCTTTAGATGGAAATTGGCAGATCCTTTACATGACATTGCAGAAGCAACCCCGTACTTTTTTGGCTGCTTGTGGTTTCATTAATCAATTTTATGTTCAGTAGTCTGCCACTGCTTTCTTAACTGGGTCAGCTCTCGAGCACCCCTGTCAAAACCAATGCAAGACAGTCTGCTACTAAATCGTCCACAGCTGGGATTAAACCCGACTCCACGGATTACCCCTTATGAGTTCGCAATGCCTAAGCCACAGATGACTGTTTCATAATAGAAAGATTTCAAATATAATGAAAGGAGGTGAAAACTGCAGTTTATTGTTTTACTGTGGATATAGCACTAAATGATGATATCTGATGCTGCCAGTATGTGAAAAAGTACACATTTTTAACACCAATAACCATTTACCTGTTTAATGGTGATAATATTGTCTCTTTTCACTTCTTGCTCCTCTTTTTCTTTAGCCTTGAGAATAGCCAATCTTTCTCGAAGCTTTTTAGTGAAACAGAAAACAAACTGAGAATATATGTACTGTTCATGAAATTGCTTTTGCAATAAAACTGACAAATAACTCTTTAAGTCCTGGCTATTTGTTACTACAGGGACTGTGGAAATGTTTAAGGTTTAATGTTTAATTAAGAATCGACATCACAGCACTTGGGACATTCCCATAAGCGTTCCATCCCCATCTTCAGCAGCAAGCACACAGTTCCAATGGTAGCAGTAGCAGTGCTGATCATCGACCTGATCCCCTGGGTATTCCTCACAATATTATTCTCTTCAGACCATGATGATCCATCTGTGCTTCCTCACTGTTTACTCGCCCCAAAAGGGCCCTTACAAAATCTAGCTTGTCATGCATCAATTCAACACCAAGTTGTACAGTCTACTAACCTATTCATTCCTTAATACACCAGCATATCCTAGTGAAAATATCCAAAGGACGCTAACTATATAGGACCTCTGAAGCACACCGGTCTCCACCTTTCTCAACATGCTAAGTGAGTCGGTTACAATCACAACATTTTTGTACAGCTGATTCTCAAGCCAGCAAAAGGCTTCAGTGACTGCCTCCACCTCCATTCTCAAACTAAATGTTGTGGTATCATATGCCAGACTTTGTTAGACTAAGCGACGTTCATTCATATTTGCTAAGAATGCACGTCCTCTGTCTCTCAATACAGAGCCATATTTATAGATAATCAAATCATCTGGGCGAGAATTGTCATGAATCATTTGTTGAACTTATGAATATGCCAAGCCTGTGGGCCAGTCTCCACACACAGCCCAATGTGATCAGAACCTTACACAAGACTGAGTTTTGCTGGGAAATTCTGACCCACTCCTCTCCCAATGTTATCAAGCCTACACAGATGTCTAATTGTGTCTTCTGTTTGCGCTATCCAAGACCTTCCTCTTTTAAGTCTGTGACCCTTAGCTCTGTCTAGGATTTCATGTAGGAGGTGTATCTTATCTGCAGCTACTTTGAGATATGGCTTAACTTGCAGCATTTTGAGCCTACCTGTAATAGTCAGCAGTGCCTGCCAGGGTATATCTTGTACATCCCAGCAGTAATAAATCGTATGACATCTACTTCCTCCATATTATATGTCATGGTCATTCAACTAAGTTTACTCAGGGGCCAAAATGTTGGAAAATGGGGACTGTCATGGGTCAAAGGCACAATCCTCAGAATAGAAATATTAATACTTCTTGTTCTTCTTCTTCATTGCATTCGGTTTCATTTGCTCAGAACAGACCATCAGGTGGGTTGCCTCTTTAAACTGGCATGTCAGCAGCAGGTCCTTCATGGTTCCCCATAGCACACTTTGCTCTTGAGTGTCTTTTCAAAGTTGTAGGTAGAGTAGACAGATCTGCAGAATGTGCTCAGGTATATGTGGTCCTATTTGACAGGCACACTGTGGGGACTGTACAATCTTTATTTTATGCATGTGGTAGTTGATCCTGCAGTGTCCTGTTCATAGACAGAAAATTGTATGTTGCTTTCTGTTGAGTCTGCTGATGGTGTCTTGTGGATGTTTACTGTTAGTTCTCTCCACAATTTCTGGTATTTTCCCTTGATAAGTGTTCTGATTTCATTAATACAATTAGCAGATGATCCACAGGCCACTACTGCTGGCCAGATTCACCCTGCAGGCCACCAGCTGAATAGCCCTGCTATATGTATTATAGTTGGGGTTATCTCTCTTAACTTTTCTATTATTAGTTTGTTATTATTTACTATCTGCGTGCGTGCATGTGTGTTTATATGCATGCATGTGTGTTGTGTGTGTGTGTGTGTTTTTGCTATAGCATTTTAACTATGTTTACTGCTGAACTATAATTATGTTAACACTTAAAAAAATATTTATTCAATAATACCAGTTTTATTTGTAGATGTTAGCATATCTGTTTTTGTTAGGAAACCATTACTGTTAACAACAACAACAACAATGCTGTGCAGCTCACAATGCACACACTCACACACACTACACTGAGAGAAGCAAGAGCACACACAGATATATAGTTCTTTTTCTGTGTTCACCCTTAAAAAGGCAGTTGGTGTGTTGGCTTGTGGTTTACAGCAAGGCTCTGATATCTGCCCTTTTTTGGCTCAACACATCTTTTTTCAAAAAACTCCTTATTAGTCGCCTTTTATGGCATGCTTGTTTTTTTTTTTTTGGGGGGGGGGGGGGGGGGGGTCTGTTCTTTTCTTTCTTTTTTCCCGTCGAAACTGTGGCCCTATGACCAATATAGGGAAGAAACAAATACACAAACCACTCTGAATCTTTACCTCAGCAATACTCATTTCACTGAGTAGGCCATATCCAGAAGTAGATGTCAAGTCCACCATTTTAGTATTTCTGATTGGTGTAGCCTCCATGGCTCGAATCTCTTGAATTAATTTCATTTTACAACGCAGTTCCTCTTCTGCCTGTAGAGAAAACCACAAAATGTCAACAGCCGCACATTAAAACTTTGGCAAGATGACTTCTAAGTAACTACATTTTTTAAAGAAACTTCCATACTACACAATACAATTTTAGCAAGTTTGCTTCTCAGCTGCTATCATACTACATCTGACATTTTTCAGCAAGTTGACTTCTTAGAAGCTGACAACTTTTTCCAAACTACACATTGAAATTCTATTTAATTTCAAACAACACATTACAGTTTTAGGCAAGCTGACTTCTTGACAGCTTACAAATGTTTCTAAACTACAGATTGTAATTTTAGTAAGTTCAAATAAAGTTAGTTAGTTGCGTATCCTTTACAGGATGTTGCAAAACCAACCCCAGGATTTTTTTTTTGCTGTTATGGTTTTTCTAGGCAAGTTTACATTCAGTAGTTTGCCATTGCTTTCTAGACGGTTGACTTCTCGATACCACTGTCAAAACCAAGGCAAAGCGCAAGGCCCGCAGCTGGGATCGAACCCGGCATCTCGACATCACAAAGAAATGTTCAAATAACACATTACAATTTTAGCAAGTTGACTTTTTAGCAGCTGACAACTTATTCCAAACTACACATTGTAATTCTAGAAAGTTCAAATAACACATAACAATTTTAGTAAGCTGATTTCTTAGCAACTGACAACTTTTCCCAAACTATACATTGTAATTCTAGTAAGTTAAAATAACACATTACAATTTTACCAAGTTGACTTCTTAGCAATTGACAACTTTTTCCAAACCACACATTGTAATTCTAGTTAAGTTCAAAAAACACATTACAGTTTTAGCAAAAAAAGAATTCCATACTACACATTACAAATGTAGCAAGTTGACTTCACAGCAGCTAGTAGACTACTTCCATACTACATACTATAATTTTAGTAAGTTGACTTCTCAGCTCTTTCCATATTAAACATTGTATTTTATCAAGCTGACTTGCCAATTATTTTCAAATTGCACATGGTTATCTAATTTCAACAAGTGAAGTGCTCATTTATTTTCAGATTACACATGTACTTTTACACAGTTAAATTCCCAACTGTTTAAATTCTACACATTGTAATTTTAGCAAGCTGACTTCTAGCTTCCATAATAACTTTTGGCTATCTTCCGAATAACGGTCCCAAATTATGGAGGCAGAAAATATACCCTAACAGGGCCTGAGTCACTTGTCAATTGTGTATTTCCGGGGACTATACCGCAGCCGCAGAATTGCGAACTTCCCCCACGCCGCATGAGCGCCGTAGAGTGGGGCTAAACTAGATGGCTAGGACTCACAAGCAAATAAAATAAAGGCAGCTGCAGGAAATGCGGTAGCTGCTGCTCATGAGTCCCAGCCATCTAGTTTAGCCCCAATCTACGCCGCGTGAGCAGTGTGGGGGACACACGGCGGGAGGATACTTTCGGTAGTGACGGAAGTCACCGGAAGTGCGCAATTTAAGTCACTGAAGGTGCACAATTGACACGTGACTGAGGCCCTGTTAGGGTTTATTTTCTGCCTCGATAATTTGGGACTCTTATTTTTTAAGATAACCTAACTTTTTTAATATTTTTTTTTATTTAACAAAGCTAGCATTCTAACATCTTCAAAATACTTCCAAACTGGAACAGTGTGTGGCAGTGTACTTTTTTCCCCAACACAAACAATGCTGAGAATACAAAAATATATTTAATAGCTGCTGCTGCAACTTACTTCAGCTAAAGCTTGCTTCATCAAATCCAGGTTTTCTTCTTTGACTTCCTGGGCTGAAGATAAAAGATAAAATAAATAAGGTTAAAGTTAATTTGCAAAAACTGACATTACATTATTTAGTTATTTCAAGCAAGTTGTGTTGTGCAAATACCTTTGACAGAAATATGTAATGAATCAATTTATCTTAACCCAAAAATAAATGGCTAGGTAAGAGAAAAAATATCAAGGAGTGTGAAATGTTCTTTATTTGCTCGTTGCAGAACAGTGGCTGACCTTTTGAATCAACAGACCTGGTTTCAATAGATGGCTTTAATCACAATTGTACTCCATACCCTTTGGCAGTCCACAAATGAAATGCAAATCAACATGCAGTTCAAAGTTACACTAGCCCCTCTCCTTCACGACCTAGCCACAATGTTGGGTACCATATATATCATTAGTCTTTAATTAATTTTCATTTGACATATTTGTACGATATTAAAATGCTTTATGTTGTTACTTCAGCGTCCTTTTCATTCCTGTGTTGTGTTAATTTCTTATTGTTGTTTGCTGATAAGACTTGTTTGCTTTTACTGATAAGGCTTGTCACTATAATGTTTCTTTAACTGTTTATTATAACTGTAATTGACCCATGTGCATTCCTGGGTCTCATTTTGGAAGAGGAAAAAAGAAGACCCACTGCCCATTTAATAAGCATGTCATAACAGGCAACTACAAGGTCTGACAATTAAGTAATGAGACTGATTTTATTTTGGCCAAGACAAAAATACCATCTTTGAAACAAAGCATGGAATCCAAAGAGGCAACTTTCATCTATGATCTGGCAACTTTTCACCCCCCCCCCCCCCCCCCCCCCCCCCGATAAGCAGACAACAAAAAGTCGCCATTTTGTTGACCTAGTCAGAGGTGCATTGTTACATAATCAGGATCGAGCAAAAAGCTTACATTAAATTATGTTTAAAACTCAGAAAAAGCGCCATTGAGAAAGTTAAATTGATGCGACAAGTTTAGGGGATAATTGTTCATCTTGTGCTCAGATTTTCAGGTGGCATTCATGATTCAAAAGTGGTGTGGAAATGATTACTAATGACACTAGACCCAGATGGCTAATTTCTGTTTGTAATGATGAACTTATTGCAAAAGTCAGAGAACGGATACAAGAAGATCACTGTTTCACTGTCATAATGATGGCAGATGAATCTGGTGTTAATAGAGAGACCATTCATTAAATTTCACTGCAAAATTTTGGCACAAAAAAAGTTGCTTGCAAGTTTGTACCGCATTCATTGTCTGATGACCACAAACATCAGTGGGTTAAGTACCAAGAGACATCATCAAAACAGGAAGTGTTGGCCCCAAAACAAGTGTGTGTTCTCAACCATCCACCCTATTCCCCATATTTGTCTTCCTGTGGTTATTTTCTATTTCCAAAATTAAAGGATGCTTCTTATACGATATTCATGACATCCAAAGGGCCATAACATAGACTTTAAGGGCCTTAGCAACAGAAGAACTACAGAGGTCATTCCAGTGTTTGTTTGATCATGCTTCTCACTGTATCAATGCTTACTTTGAATAAAATATAGGTTATATCTTCAAATGTTGATTATTTAAATTTTTATGGAATTAGTCTCATTATTTTATTTTTGGGCTTTGTATTTGGCACGTTCTCTTTAAAGTCAAAAGTGCATCTCCCTAAGAGGTAAGGAACTAACAATCTGCATACAATTAAGCCAGACCTGTAAAATGGATGTGCACATAAAACTGAAGTTCCTAAACAAGACTGAAGTCCAGAAGTGGACAAATAACCAGAACTCTCTGACAGAGTTGACTACCTGCGAATGCTAAGAATAACTGTTGTTTTGTGAATCTGATCTAGTTTTTTATTTCTTCTATTTTTAAAATGCATTGTTTACCACCGTAACTATTCCGCGGGTTTAAGATATTAATTAAAGAATTCAGGCTAACAGTGATCAACAGAATATTTCTACCAAGACTTTTAGTGACAGTCAGGATTTGTACAAAAGTAAAGGGCTCTTTTTATAGTGTATTAGTTACCTTTACCTCCCAAGATATTTTTACAGGATCAACTTTAAGGCTGACAGCCTAAGTCAATTTAAGACCCAAAAATGCAAAGGTTGATAAAATGACAAATGATTAGAACATAAGGCTCTCCTTGCAGTACCGGACGAGGGCTGGATGGCTTAGTTCAGTTTAGTGGGAGTTCTCTCCATTGGCCGCACTGGAAACAGTGAGCGGAAAAGTCACGAATCAAAGAAGACAGTGAGGTCGATATCAGGGCTGCCAATGCTTGGTTGTGTCCCCCAGATCTGGGATTATTTTTTTACGCTGAGTGGAAATCTGGGTTTGTTTGTTTTTTTTGGTTTTTGCCGATCTGTATGCTTTAATGACCGATACATTCGCGTGGTTAGGGGTAGGGTTAGGGTTAGGGGTAGGGTTAGGGGTAGGGTTGTGGTTCGGGTTAGGTTTAGCGTTAGATGTGACAATTTTGACACAGGAGTTCACTATAATCGCGCGGAGTCACATACACACCCAAACAGTCGACGGACTGTGGATGCTACGGACAATTCGCCACTGACTGGGCACCAGCCGTGCGCTATTGCCGTCATATTTGGCAGACTTTCAGTGGCGCCACTCCAACAAGCATCAGATTGTCGGCCAGTATTTGGAACTCCTACGTCAAAACTTTCACATCTAACCCTAACCCCTAACCCTACCCCTAACTCTACCGCTAACCCTACCCCTAACCCTAACCCTACCCCTAACCCTAACCCTACCCCTAACCCTAACCCAACCCCTAACTCCTAACCCTAAACCAAACCGAAACCCTACGCAACCCTACACGCAACAGTATGATGACTACGCATCCCTTCACGCAACCGTATGATGACTACGCAACCCTTCACGCAACCGTATGATGACTACGCAACCCTACATGCAACTGTATGATGACAACACAACCCTACACGCAAGCGTACGCAACCCTACACGCAACCGTATGATGATAGGAAAGTATGTCATTTGTTTCGTTACTTTTCCGCTCACTGTTTCCAGTGCCGCCAAGGGAGAGAACTCCAACTAAACCAAACTACGCCGTCCAGCCCGCGTCCAGCCCTCGTCCGGTACTGCAAGGAGAGCCGAACATAAAGCCATTTATAATGGCACAAAAACTATACAAGCCATTCAATTGGTCCAAATAACAAACCTTAGTTAATAAATTTGCACAAATAAACCAGACCACATTTACAAGCAAAGCTGTTTGCAGAAGGCTGAACGTAGTTGAATCTTTTCCCATAAAACTGGAATTTGAAATAAGCCAGTTTTTTTAAAATCTGCCTTAATATTAATTCCAACCCATGATCACCAGATCAGCGGGTAAACATGTTAACCACTGGTCTACCACTGCATCCAAAAAGCAAAGATATAGACAGTCTAAATATCATCATCATCATCATCATCTTGCCGTGTCATTGTATGCCACATAGAGCCCAGTCTATTCTTCTATTCTATTCTTCTGTTCTGATCTTCCTGTGATTTTCTACTGCAGTGTTATTTCTACAGGGCTGGTTAGAGCTGGCCATACACCCAACCCTCCTCCTTCATCACCCAGGCTTGGCATCAGTCATTGCAGTGATGTCTAAATATCACTGAACAGGAAATGCATTATATGTTAAACGAAATGCTTGAGAAAAGCTATCAGCTTCAACAGAAGATAGAAGTGATACAATGATATTTACAAAAATCCCAGCTGTCACACCCCATTTTTAATTTATAAAGACAACATATCTGTCATTCTGACATCTTGCATTTTGACAACAGGCATTCAGTTCAACTACTTCTAGCATGACAACCAAGACAGCAGCAGTAACAGGGGTACTTGTATGGCTGGCAAAACAGAAAGCAACTCATGCATTGATAATGACAGTTCTGTTACTTGATTAGTTCAGACTCAGTGAGCATGATTAAAAAGAACCAAACTGGCAAACTTTGACTAGAATGGGTTGACAATATCCAGAAGTCCTACTTCAATAAACCTTCTTGGCTTACACACGGGGATATGCCCGGGTGAAAGGAAATGAAAGAGCTGACAGGGTGGCAGTGTCTGAAGTAGTTAGTGGAGGAAGAAGTATGGACAGGGCAGATGTACTGAATGCACTGCATTCCAGAGACACTGAGACAAAGGTGTCAGAGATGACAAACCACCTGTTGCAAATGGGTATTAAATGAGAACAAGCAAGCAGAAACTGGGTGTGGAGCAAAGAAAGAAGATGAGCTGGTCAACTCCTACTGGATATGTTGAGCATGGGAACACTGAGATGGCTGCTGCAGTGAAGGACGGAGCAGGAATGAGTCAGACTGATGTGCTAGGATGTCGATATGGACAACATGTAGTAAGTGACATCTTGTAGGAATAAAATCCTGTTGATTCTACTTGAATCCTACAACTAATGAAGTTTCTGTTGTAGACCTAGAGGAAACCAGTCAGATGGAAAGATTCCATCAGGAGTAGGGGGCCGCGTTAGCGCAGTTGATAAGAAGCTCGCTTTCAAATCCAGCTGCGACTCGCTGCAGCCCACGGTCGGTGTTAAAAAACCGGGCGGCTCTCGGGGTTCACCCAGCCTCTAGGAAATGGGTACCAGAGTGATACTTTGGAGTAAATGGAGGAATGTCGCTGTAGCTACAGTGTTATGTGTGAACGGCGACACATGCGGACAATTCTTATCAGTTGTCCGTACTGGTGGCAGAGCACTTATGGTTTATAACCATGTGCAATGATGCTGGTTCACATCTCCCGACTTTACCTTTACCATCAGGGGTATACTACACAATGGAGATGTTGTAGAACCGTGGTTAGATGCTTACCTGACATGGAGAAGTTTTGAACAGGCATAGAGGCAGATTTTTTTTACAACTTTAGTTACCAGATCTTAAACAGATACCAGGAAATGTCATGAGAAGTAAAGGCAGCAAGCATAATGTTGACCACATCCCTGATTGAGCTCCTATCGATCTATAAAAATATGAGTCTTAGAGCTTCTTAGGCCTGATGTGGCATAGATATGGACACAGTCTTTACTGATGCTACACAATCACAGCGACATCTAGACAACACACATGGTTCAAAATGGAAGATTTCAACTTCCCTAGTATACTTTGAAATCTTTCACGATTACCTATCTTCTGCTTGTATTCTTGTATGTGCTTCTTGGCATCTTTAGCCATCTTATGTCCGGCCAAAGTGTTTTCAACTATCATCCTGTTGACAGACATATCAACATCATGTAAAACAATAGGAGAGACATGGCTGCCAGGTTTTAATTGGGCTGATGAGTTATTTGGTATGCTGGTTGCCTGTTAATGCAAAGAATATCGTGGATAGATAGAAAAACAAACTTAGCAGTCGTCATCAAAACAGATAAAAGTTGTAAACTTATTAGAACAATTAGAAACAGACACCTAATATTATTTGGACATATTGTGTGAAGAAATGGAGGTGTAAATTCAGTAACAACAAACAAAATTGATGGAAAGAGACCAAGAGGAAGGCAAAGAGATAAATACATGGATGTCCTGGCCAAACATATGGGGCAAGACAAAAACATTGAACTGATCCGTGATTCTGGTGATCATGTGATAGATAAAAAAAATGAGTCTATGCCTAGCTGGCATGGTACATATGATGATGATAATGCAACCAAGTGTTACAACTGGTTCTACGAAACACAAAAGAATTCATTTTCTAACATCCAGTAACAAATACTTATTTCATAAGTTATCATACACATGATGGTTCCATAGAAATACTACAATTTATCTTAGCTGTGGAAGTCATACTGTATTATACATCGGATGTCTTCTTCTTTGTTCACCGGCTGTATGCTACAGTGAAAAAATCCTGGTTGTTCCTCCATTTGGACTTTGGCTTTGTGCCAGGGCAAGAGTTTTGAGTGCACATCAGTTTTACAGGCTTATCTGTGTAAAGTTGGTTATTCCTTGCTGCTCGGGCAGATGCACTCTGACTTCGAAGGAAGCCCCCAGTTAGTCAACACTTACCACATGCCCATTGCGGAGGCAGTGGGTCTATTCTTGTTTTACCCACAATGGGGACCCAGAATCAATACAGGAAACACATCTGATGAAGGTGAGCATAATTTAATAAAATGTTGATAGTATAACATTTATTGAAAAGGTTGACAAATAATTAATGCAGTCAAATGCAGGATTTGTTATCAGCTTTCCTACTTACACCAAACATAAAGTAAAGCAAATCTACTCATTTCTGTGTTTTGTAACAGATAAGACTACAACTCACTTCATTTCTTTTTCCATTTCCATCTTCTGCTTCAAATAGTCTCTCATCTTATCAGCTGCCTATGAAAGAAAAGTAAATATAAATATGATACATTAAGGCAAACATTTTAGTCAAAAATAGCAACAGTGGAAAGAAAAATGCATGGACCAGTGAATAACTGAACAATACAGTGAAATTTAAAAGAGACAAAATTGCAGATATAGATAATTCATTGCAGGCGACTCAAAGAAGAAGTAAATATAACTTAAAAGCAGGAACAAATAATGTGCATTATCATATAAACTTAAAGATATTTGTTAAACAAAAAGGTTTTATTTTGCACCAGTATTAATCAGTCAAACTACTGAACTTAAATTTGCCTAGAAAAACCACAACAGCCAATGCTGGTGTTGGCTCTGCAAAGTCCTGTAAAGGATACACAACTAAAAAAAAATTTTATCAGTCAACATTTTCAACCAGTTCACAAGATCAAAATACAGGACACAACAAACTGACATCCAATCATTTTGTCATATAAATTACTCACTTCTTTTTTCATACTCTGTGCCTTTGACTGGTTCTCAGCAATCAGATTAGCACGTGCCAGAATGGCTTCTTCATGACTCAGTTTACCCATCAGCCTCCTCTCTTCACATGCAGCAAGTTTCATTTCAAGATCCTGCTGTCTTTTTTCAGTCTGCCACTTGTAAAAGTCTGACGCATCATGTGCACCAGTCTCCAACTTTCTTAACCTGGATTTTAGAATTTCATTCTCATTTTAATGACAAGCAAACTGCTTACTCCATGTTTTGTTACAGGATAGCATGTCCCCATCATTCTCATCACCATTCATCATCACAATAATCAAGTGTTTTGAAAACTGGCTTAGTGACTCAGGCTTTTCCTTACAAATCTCCAATAGAATGAAGCCATGGGGGTCATTTTGGAATGTACAAGAGATGCCCCGGTAGTATGTATGCGATATATGCTCACACTGCCTACTATTGCTGATAGGCTTAATGTTCTGCAAGCAAAGTCATATCTCAGAGTAGCTGCAGACAAGAAGCACCTCCTGCATGAAGCCCTGGGTAGATCTACAGGTCACAGACTGAAAAGAGGAAGGTCTTGGATGGCGCAAGCTGAAGACACAATCAGACATGTGTGCAGGCTTGATAAATTTGTGCGAGGCGATCCTTTGGATACAGGTATGCTGGTGTGTTGGGAAATGATAAAACGCTGTCAAGAATCTTCTCACACTGTCTTCCTGTCTGATTTTCTAAAGATCTTTCCAATGGTCAGATGTTTCAGTTTCCCTCTTCTCACAATTCTTCTTCTTCTCCTTCTTCTGCCTTTCTATCCCCCAATGGAGCATAGGCCCTCAACCAACTCACGCCAAGTCGTTCTATCCTTTGCCATTAAATGGAGCTCTCCCCATCTTTCTAACTTCATTCTCCAGCTCTCTTCTCCATGTGTTTTTTGGCCTTCCTTTATTCCTATGCCCCTGTGGGCTCCAATGCAAAGACATTCTAGTTATGCTGTTCTCCTGTTTTCTCAGTGTGTGTCCTATCTATCGCCAGTGTCTTTTCCTCACCTCTTGGTCCACTGGAGCCTGTTTAGTTCTCTACATTAGTTATTCTATCATACCATTTATTTCCCTCTATTCTGCGCAGGCACGAGTTAATGAATGTCTGTAATTTATTGGTAATTGCCTTAGTTTTTCTCCATGTTTCCGCCCCATACAAAAGTACTGATTTGACATTAGAATGAAAAATTTTTAGTTTAATATATCTTTTAATTTCTTTTGACCTCCACAAATTCCCTAGTGCTATAAAAGCTCCTCTTGCCTTTTGTATTCTTATTTTAATATCTCTATCAGTTCCTCCATCTTTATCTACATTACTGCCCAAATAGGTGTACAACTTCACGTCTTCGAGTGAGGTGCCATTAAGAGAAACCACATTACTATTTGCCTGATTTATTCTCAATATCTTTGTCTTTTCTTTATGAATTTTCAGACCAAGCTGCTGTGATCTCGCATCAAGTATATTTAATTTATCTTGCATCTCATTCTGTGAATGGGACAGAACATAACATGGCCACACAAAAAACATGGTTGCTGTCCAGTTTTTCTCTTCTTATAACATAGCCAAACAAATGTGGCCGTCCAGTTTCCCTCTTCTCATAACATGGCAATAAAAATGTTGGCCGTCCAGTTTCCCCCTTCTCATAACATAGCCAAAAAATTGCTATCTCCTTGCATACAATAAATGAGTAAAAACAAAGAGGTCCATCTTTTCAAATGTAAAGGCTTCACAGTGAACTCCCAAGGAAGATACAACACAATCCACGTTTCCATAGACTCTTTTACTAAAATAAGTATTATCATGAAAAATAAAAATAAAAGCACACTGAAGCCAAATACATCAGAAACATGGTCTCTGAGAAAAATGTTGAAAACATCATTGAGTAAAAGATAAATAAACAAGAGATACTTGCAGCTGAAGGTGTTGCAAAGTAACTTACCAAACCTTGAGGAAAAGAGAAATAAATTCATACAGCATATTATAATAGAAAGGGTGGAAAGAAAAAAATCAACTTATGTGGAGAAAAACTAGGCAAGAAAAATACTTACAAAGGTATGCAGAAAAAAATCTGAGTAACAAATCATGATAGAAACATTTCGGTTGCCTCTACAGGACACCATACTATATAGGGTATACATCAAAAGAAGAGAATGACCTACAGCACAAGGTATAACAAGAACAAGTTATGATTCTACAATCTTCCCTGACATGTGATATGGTAATGAAGTTTGTGTAGCCAATATTATTTCACATTTTTCATTTACAGTTGTTCACTTGTGAATGTCAGAAAGAACTGCACATAATTTCAACCCAGTTAGCTAACAACACTCTCATTCTGATAGTGTTTGTCAGCCATCAGTGTGCACAAACTTGGATGCTGATTATCTACAAAATTGCGTGCAAAGTGTGTAGTTCTCAGCAGGATTCATCACAGCAGAGACCCTGGTTACTCCTCCAGTTCCCTCCTCTAGCGCATGTCCAGAATGTTCCTTTAGGAGGAAGGGGTGAAAACAGGTCTTGGTCAGTTGATTTTCAGCCTGGCATTCAGTAACTCTGACTGCTAAAGAGACGAGTAGTTTGAAAAACATATGGAAGAGAATTTCCTTGGGGTTACACTGTAAAGCCTTTGCATTTTAAAAGGTGGACCTCTTAGTTTTTACTAATTTCTTATATAGAAGATGATAGTCAGCAATTTTTGGCCATGTGAGAAGAGGAAAACTGGACAGTTTGACCACTGGAAATAATTGTAGAAAGGGAAAAGATGAAAAGGGATAGAAAAAAATAGTGTGAAATTAAGAAGGCAGAAGAAGAAAAGGAGAAGAATAAGATGGTGGCCTGACAAAACTGGTTACCTCATCCTGTACAAAACTTTCTGCAGAAGTTAACCAATAATAAACAAGTCAAGAAAAATACTCATGTGAGTTGAATGATGGCCTATGCTCCATTAGAAAAAGGTTAAAGTCCAGAGGATCAACTTCAAAACAGTGGGTTGAATCTCATATATACAGCTCAGTCTCCGCAGAACAGCTAGCCACCGGTTGAGAACGTCGCACAAGCATGAACAACATAGCTCCAGTGACGTTCCCCAGGGATCTCTGTAAAAACTGTATTCGTAAACCCAATGACGCAGCCATGAATCGAACCAATGACCATTGGTACGTGAGGCAAGCGGCTTGACCACTTTGCCACAAAGAACCTTCCCCCATTTAGATATGAAAGCCAAGTAGTAATTCTTCAGGTCTTAAAAACTGTGAAACTGCTAGTACTATTGGCTAAATTCTAGAGAATTTGAAATGAGCAGCAGTGAGAAGAACAAACAGCTAATTAATCAGCTTACTTCTCAATGATATCATTTTCTTGCTTCTGATATAACAAGCCTTCCCGCAAGATAGCAGCAGATGTCATTTTTATTGGCAAATGGTCTTTCTTCTAGAAGAATAATGAAGTAATTTATCAATGGCCATAACTGGCATTTAAAGTTTTATTATATCAATAAATAATTATACATGTTAAATAAAATCTCTCTCTCTCTCTCTCTTCTTCTCTCTCTCTCTCTCTCTCTCTCTCTCTCTCTCTCCCCCCCCCCCCCTCATCCACCCATGCAAGTACACATAGAGACACAGACAGACAAGACAAGACAGACAGACAGACAGACCAGTGTTCTGCATAAACGTATAACGCTGCTTAATAGATGTCATCAGAGACGTTTAACGCTGCTTAATAGATGTCATCAGGGACGTATAACGCTGCTTAATAGGTGTTATCAGAGACGTATAACTCTGGTTAATAGATGTCATCAGAGACATATAACGCTGCTTAATAGGTGTCATCAGAGACGTATAACTCTGGTTAATAGATGTCATCAGAGACATTTAACGCTGCTTAATAGATGTCATCAGAGACATATAACGCTGCTAAATAGATGTCATCAGAGACGTTTAACGCTGCTTAATAGATGTCATCAGAGACGTATAACACTGCTTAATAGATGTCATCAGAGACGTATAACGCTGCTAAATAGATGTCATCAGAGACGTTTAACGCTGCTTAATAGATGTCATCAGGGAAATACAATGGAAAAAAAAGAAGACAGAAAGAAAAGAAAATAGCTACTCACAAATTCAGGTGCAGGTCTGGCCTTAATTCTATTGGAATCAACTTTGGCATTTTCTTCGCAGATTATATTCTGAATAATTTGCTTTGTTCTCTCAGATTTCTCTGGGTTTGCACATGAAAACTGAATTTTTGATGCATTCAGAAGATGTTCCTGCATTTTTGTAGAAAAAATCATGATTAACAAGAAGTCTCCGCTAAATACTAACAGGTTCTACAAAAGCTATGTAACTGGTAGTAAGCCTACTTGTAATTTTTTTTTTTTAGCTGCCATTACTTCCTGTATTTACTACTTTTGCAGTGTAGGCAGGGGAATCTTGAGCCTGAGGATTTATGGTAGTGTAGTTAGTGTACCTGTCACGCACTGTGCAGGCTGGGATTCTATATTTGCAGTGGACAGAAAAAATATATAATCTTCTTCTTCTTCGATCCTTCTGCCAGAAAACTTATGTCAGAAGGCCGGTAGCCTTTATGAAAGCTATTGTACAGATAATATCTTCTTGTGTACCATACAGTTTTGTCTTCATTATGGTTGGAACAGGCCAGATTGCGTCTCTGTTGTCAGCATACAGTTGAGAGTGTTGGAGCCCATGCTCAGCATTTTTGGGTGCCCAACTATAATCTTACCAAGGATTTGAATGTAGGTCTCTTACATGATAGCCCAGCATTTTTATACATTCTGCCAGCCACACTGGTAGCACTTAAAAAAGTTATAAACACATTACCACATGTTAAACATGCCGCTTTTTAGCAATTATTGAGGCATAGGAAGGGAAAAGAAAACGAGGAAGACCAAGAGAGACCCTGTGTAGAACCATCTTCATGGAAGGCTCAGCCATAGGCCTAATGAACATGCAAGACCTAAAACAGGTGGCAAGAACTGCCAGAAATGGAGAGCTATTACCTCTGCCCTATGCGCCCCCCTAGGTTCAAGAGGAAAGATTAACTAACTGACTGACTAATAGAAGCATAAGGTAAAAGGAGCAATGAACCAGTGATCATATAATATAACACAGTGTTACTCTGCATCATCACATATTCATTAAGAGCTAGTGCTCCTCACGTGTGCAACAAAGTTTGTGCACTGCGCTAAGATTCTTCAGACTCAGGCTTGAGTTAGAAGAAGAATGGAACACTTGTGGGTTACATCCGTGTGCCATGATGTTGATCCATTGAATAAACATAAACATTATAAGCTAGTGTTACAATTCATAAAGAATTCAGTGTTTCTTCTTTTTTTTTTTCTTTCTTCTTCTTCTTCTCTTCTGGCTACCTTACTGAAGTGTTGAGAAGAGTTGTAAGGGCTGTCTCTGCACTCTTTTTCATGCACTGCTGCTCTAAATTTCCACAAGTGTTCTTGATACTGTTGTTCCATTTTTTGCATGGTCTTACCTGTCATGTACATTATGTTTCTTCAATGTGGCAGTTGGTAACAGGGCATTACATTCTCAATGGATGGCAAAACAATTTCATCTGTTGCTCTTTGATGAAACAGATTTTAACCCTCTTACCCTAAGAAAGCTGATTTGAAGATAACACACTTGCCTGCTGGCTCAGTTTATCTTAAGTTTAAAATTCTGGGTTCCCAGGTCAACATAAACTGGATGTCAGGAAATGTCCCAGGGAAATAAAGGCAACCAAGGTGATACTGACAAGCACAAGTTCAATCTTACCTCAGCCTTTCTCTTATTTTCTTCCTTCTGATTCTCAATAGCCTCTTTAATAGCTGGTGGCCTGTAAAGTGACTTTGGTGGTGGTTTCGATTTCATCAACTTTGGAACCTGAACATAAAGGCATTTGTTACTTATTAAGACACATCTTTTATTTGTTTCCTTCTGATTCTCGACAGCCTCTTTAATAGCTGGTAGCCTGTAAAGTGACTTTAGTGATGGTTTTGATTTCCTCAACTTTGGAACCTAAAAGTCAAGGCATATGTTATTTTTTAAGATGGTTGTATGCCATCAGAAACATCCTGGTTTTGAATCTGTATCGAGTCAGATTTTGACAACCGACTGGGGCTCATAGATTCTGCCACCCTGCAATTGGTACCAGGAGAGCTGTGTTGAATGACGAACAAAAAAAACAGCCTTCAGTAAATTCCCGTAAAGTACAAGGATGCATTCTGGGAAGTAACGGTGGCCAGCAAGATGGTGACCACACTACACATTAAGTGCTGACTGGTCTACTGAAATATGGGTTTAGCATCATATGCATGACTGCCTTATGGCATGAAAGGGGTCCTTACCTTGTATTTATTTACACAATGTATTTTATAATCTACTGGAATTTTCAAAATTCCCATAATCATTTAAAAATTCTTCTTTGTGTTCGCCATTGTAAACTCAAGCAAAAAGTTCTGGTTTTTCATCCACTTCTGGACTTTAGTCTTGTTCCGGAACTTGAGTTTTGCATGCACATCCTTTTTACTGATCTGGTTTATTTGTAACCTGTTTAATCTGTAACTTTCCTAAAACTCTTGCACACCTCAGAGAAAATATCCAAAGGATGCTCTAACTACCCGAGACCTCTGCCTGGAGCATGTCAGTTTTCATCTTTCTCTGAATGCTTTGTTGTCTTTTACAATGTTATGAAACCACCTCAGTGATTTCAGTATTTAGTATGTTTAATAATAATAAATTCTTTGATTAATAAAGAAACTGAGAATTATATTTACTATACCAAATACTAAAACCATGTGGGATTAAAAATTGTTTCCAGTTCTCAGACCAGACAAAGAAACGAGTCCTGGCTTAAGAGCACATAAAATTACCAGCCAGTCCACCTGAGGAAACTGGGGTGTCAGAAATATTACAGTATCCGACAAGCCTTCTGAACCTGTAACCTCGGCAAGGGGGGCAGTCCAGACATGATGGTTCCACTTGACAGGTTTCTCCCACCTTTCATTGACACTGTGTAGAACCAAATGGGATCCACCTTAGAATGTTTAATCAGTAGGTGGGCAGTCATTAATTGATAAAACAAAGATAACTGTAGTTTGAAGGAACCTCAGGGGTGGGGCTTAGAGCCTCTCCTGAAGGAAAGACATTAATACAGATAAGGGGAGGAGCTAAACTCTTCTAACTGAGATGAGGGTTGAGTTGAGTTGAGTCAAGAATTGACATCACAGCACTTGAGGCATTCACATGCATGTTCCGTCCTCATCTTCAGCAGCCAGCGCAGAGTTCCTATACTGATGGTACCGGTTGTAATCTGGTTATATGTCTGTCGTGCCTTTCTTCTGAGTTCTGAGAGGAAAAAGTTTAATACAGTGAGGAGTCTTGAATTCAATTTAGACTGCTGCCAGCGACTAAGAGTACACTAGAAAGTTATCCTAGCTGTATGGGTCTTATTGGCAAATCGCTGTAATTTTCCCAGTTACCATCAGTGGCAAGGACCAGTCAGCACTTATCATAAGCAGATGGTCCGGTGTGTGACCTGCTTAAAGCAGCGAGGACGACAGGCTAGGAAAAGTTAGACAGTCTCAAACTGAGATCTGCCTGAGGTTTATCTTCCTCCTGCAAGTTATGTACCATTCATGTCCATAAAAATTATCATCACTAACACACCATCCTCACTCTACTAACATATGCACGTACTGAACTCACTTAATTAACTCACCACCATCATTGAGCCATTACCTTTTATGATTGCAAGACCAATACCATTTATTTACTTTGCTTTAGATTGATTCAATAAAATCTTGCTCAAGTTATTAACTCATAGTTTGTTAATTATTATTCATAGTTTCAATTGGCTATGTTCATAATCTGTTTAATTTAACACTTTAGATTTAAAGGGTTAACAAAATGCTATAACACTTGGTGGGGGCATTCGTTAAAAACTAATACCAAGAGAGGATAAAGTTAGAGGGGTTAACTGTGTGTAATGATATTCCCCTTGAATTGATTGAATTCACTATGATATCTAACTACCCTTTTCCTACTCATGTGGATACAAGTACAACTACTTTAATTTTATTCTATGAGCCACTTTTGCTGTTTTCTTAGTTATCCAAGACTTTGTCAGGGATCAGCATAGCTCAGATATTAGTTCTGTTTCTCACATGGGTGTGCAGTGTCAGGATTTAAACCCACACACTCACTACACGAGTGTATATCCATGCGGGGTTGGCAACATACAAACATGACATGTGTGTGCAGTTGGTTTTCAAGCCAGAGAAGAACTGCAGTGACAAAGTAAAATCTTACATCATGACACCCACCATCCTCTGCACACACACACACACACTCCCACCCCCCACCACGCACACACGCACACACACACACACAACACTTTGCTGAGGTATCTGAAGAAAGAAAAGAAATAAAAGATGGTACTTGCATGACTTTAGCTAACCAGATAGGGACAGAGAATATCCGAGCTTACAGCCCAAGAAGACCTGGTTCATCTCACAGTGTCAACTGATTTAATTTTAACCCCCCCCCCCCCCCCCCCCCCAAAAAAAGAAGAAAAAATGAAGGGGGGAAAAAGATGGTATATTCTTATTAACATCTAGTCTTCTTAGACAAGGGCAGGGGCAAAGAAAAAGCTCACAGGTTGTGTCTGCAGGTGGCACACTTTAATGACCCTTCAGCAGCTACAAATTGAGAGTATCATACTAAACAGAATGCAACCAGGCAAACATTTCCAAATGAAACAAGCTCGCCATAACACAAAAAAGGAATATTTATAGTTTGTGTGATTCTTGCTTAGACATACTAGGATCCTCACAAGATTTACTGAGTTAGTGCAAAGTGCTGATACTAAGTTTTGGATCTATAGTGGTAGACTAGAAAAACCTATGGGTATATATTCATGTGCAGTCAAAGGAACAACTCATATACAGATGAGCTAACTAAGTATTATTTCATTAAATTCCCAAATCAAGATCTGGTATCTGTTCATGGTTTTTACAATGGTACTGTATAAATAATTAGAATATTTAAAAACCATTTACCTGCTCAGGAATGGGTATTGCTCTTGCTCTTGGTTTGGTGAGATTGAAGGGCTTTGTCTCTGAGGATAAATTATATAATAAATTTGAACAAAGAAGACACAAACAACAGATTGTACAATTTATTGCCTGGCATATTTCATTGTATCTTGTCAGGTGCATACTACAGTAACAATTACATAAATGAAGCAAATAAGTGAATCCTTTATAACTGAAGTACAAATTCAACAACAACTGATCGACACCCGGAGAAACAAGTCGCTGAGCACATTCCAGTATGGGTTGGAAAAGCCATGCAAAAAAATATTCAAAATGAGAATACTGGCCGCAAAGATTACCCCTCCGCAATAGCACACTATCTTCTAAAATCTGGACATGTGGTAACTAAGGACAACACATTTGAAATCCTTCATACGACAACCAATGGCTGAAAGGTAAGATTTTTTTTAAATTCCGCGATTTGTCACCTGCGCCCGGAACTCTGTATACAGAAAGTTATGGTTCTGACTTTACGGCTGCGCTGGTAAAACAGGTAGTCATGTTTGATCATTGTTGAATTTGTACTTCAGTTATAAAGGATTCACTTACCTGCTTCATTTATGTAATTGTTACTGTAGTATGCACCTGACAAAGGTGATGGTATCTAGGGCATCAGATATTCCATCAATCCATAACTAATGTGGTTGACCTCTAGACTGCCTTTATTGTGTCTAACTGACATGGCTCTCTTTTGTGCACTGTCTGGTGGTAGTCTTGAGACATATCTGAACCATTTGATCCCTTGTATTTTGAAGCAGTTTAGTACTGGCTTGTTGCAACTTTTTTTCTGATATCATCATTTCTAAACCTGTATCTTCTAGCTATATTTAGGATAGGCAAGTGGAGAAGAATTCCACAACACAGATGGATTCAAGATATGACAGATTATTTACATAAGACAATCAATCAATCAGGTGCCGTCTCCACAATGAAGGTTGGCTGCAATGGATCTCCAACAAGCCCTGTCTCTTGCCCTTGATGTACACTCACTCATACTGCTGTTCGTCCATCTCTTGATGTTATCCTCCCACTTGTAACGCCTACCTTGAACCTTTCCCTCTAGGATGATCTTTACAATACTGTTATGTCTTTTAATGTGGCCAAAATATTTCACTTGTCTCTTATTCATTTCACCTAGCAACTCTCTTTTCATTCCCAATTTCCTCAGTACCTCTGTATTTAATAGCTTCTGTTTCCATGAAATACGACCTAATCTTCTGTATATCCACATCTCCAAAGAATTTATACGATTTTCCAGTTGTTTGTTTATTGTCCATGTCTCTGTGCCATACAGGAAGGTTGAGAATACATAACATTTGACAATTCTCATTTTTAATGTATTGCTTATTTCTCTTGATGTCAGTAACTTTTGCATGTTGTTGAAAATGTTTTTGGCCATCCCTATTCTTTTCTTGACTTCTGTTTCACTTCTGCCGTCACATGTTATTACTTGTCCAAGATATAAGAAATTTTTAACTTGTTCCAATTTCACCCCGTTCACTGTGATATTCATTGTTAGCTGTTTATTTTCTTTACTAAATATCATGGTTTTTGTCTTTTTCAAATTTATATCTAATCCAAATTCTGCACTCCTTCTGTTTACTTGCTCCACTAGGTCTTGCAACTCCTGCTCACTCTCTGCTAGCAACACTGTGTCGTCAGCATATCTCAGATTGTTTATTATTCTACCATTGATGTGCAGTCCTGGTAATTCTACAATTTCTTTAAAAATGGTTTCTGTACATAAGTTGAAAAGGCAAGGCGACAGAACACATCCTTGTCTTACTCCTCTCTTGATCTCTATCTGGGGTGAGCAGATGTTGTCATATCTTAATGTTGCTTCTTGCTCCCAGTATAAGTTTCTAATAAGTCTGATATCCTTTCCATCTAGTCCTATGTTTTGAAGAGCTGCAATTAGTTGTTCATGTTGCACTCTGTCGAAAGCTTTCTTGTAATCTATAAAACATGCATAAATATTTTTCTGAACTTCTATATATTTTTCAGTCAGCATCTTTAGACAAATTATGGCCTCTCCAGTACCACTGTTTTTACGGAATCCAAATTGCTCTTCAGAAACTTCTTTCTCTATTTTATTTTGAATTCTTGCTTGTATTATCTTCAAGAGTAACTTAGTTACGTGACTCATTAGGCTAATAGTTCTGTAATCTTCACAATCAACAGCTTTTGATTTCTTGGGTAGTGTGATAAAAACAGATGTTTTCATGTCCCTGGGAATGTACCCATAGTTATAAATGTCATTGCATATTTCTGTGATAGTATCGATTCCAAAAGTAGATAATGATTTTAACATTTCTGCAGTTATGTTGTCCGGGCCTGCAGCTTTTCCCTGCTTCATCTGTTTAATGGCTTTCTCTACTTCAGACTTTAATTTGTTTGAATAATGATGATAAATTAATTCAATTTAAAATAAAGCAACATATCTAGCCTTGGAACACAATTCAGCAAATATTTTAGCACCCAATGGGGGAAAAAAAGAAGAGTTGACTTGGTGAAGGACTAAACGCTCACCTGCGGATCAGAATGACCTTGGCTCCCAGATCGACTCAGCCTTGATAATCAATCTTCTCATTTGGGGTTCCGGGTTACTTTGTGGGGAAAACAAGAATAAATCCACTGCCTCTTTGACAAGTTTGTCGTTTAGGTCGACTAATTGTGGACTTCTTTTGAAGTCAGAGTGCATCTGCCTGAAAGGCAAGGAACCAACAGTCTGCATATAAATAAGTCAGATCTGTAAAAGGGATGTGCCATGCAACACTCAGGTTCTGAAACAAGACTAAAGTCCAGTGGTGGACAACATCTAGAATTTGCCGCCAGTGTTTATGGCTGGTAAACATAAAGAAGAAGAAGAAGATAATTAATCCTGGTAAAATATAAATAACTGAAGACCTACTGGGCCAGCCTTCAAGGCAAGGATTCGATTTTGTCCAACCTGAACTGACTTAGGACAAGATGCAAACAAAGTTCTGTTACATATGTTTTCCAATAGATGGCTCTCAGAAGTAAATAATTTCTCATTTTTAAAAAATATGTTGAAAGTTGGAACCTGTGAATGCTGGTGTTTTCTCTGTAGGTATTTGCTTGTTATCAATCCTGTTTTTCAGAATCTTTATAAAGTCCCACAGTTCAGGTAGCCACCTAAATAAATAAAATAATACAACATCATCAACAAATACTGAAGATACTTTAAATCAAATTGCTGGAAAGCCGAGGTAATATCACTAGCAGTAGTAATTTAAATAATGATATTCTATTTCACCCATCTGGGTTTTAACTGGGGGATATATATATATACCTTCTCAACACACATCTAAAGAATGTTGATTTTCTACTTCTGATTCGGTAATCAGTTCTTTTTATGAGGTAATTTCTTTGGATACATCATAATCATGTTAATGTGTCAACTGTATAATGATTCTTCTATAAAACCAAATATCCCTGTAGTTCTATATAGACTTCTCAATATTCTGTTGACTATCCATGATTTCATTTATTAAGACTGGCTCTACATAACTAGCCTATGGTAATGTTATAATAACCAACAGCTGTTATCAAGTGTAAGTACTACTGTTTGCCACTTACTTCGCTTCTCTCTCAGTATAACAAACCTGACACAAAATCTTTGAAGCTAGTTCAAGATGATTACAATTTTAAAACCACCTACAAAAATATTCTTGTTTTGAATCTACACCCAGCTATGAATAAAAAAATTAAACTTTGTACAAATATTAATTTGTATTTTGAATGTTTTAGTACGGTGAATTCAGATTCAAAGCTGTCATTGTATAGCTCAGTACAAGGTAACCAAGTCATAGACAACAGGAAGATAACACTTGTGTCAGTATAACTCACCGACAAATAGGAGATAACAAATGTGTCTGTACATAACTTGGTTCATAGACTTTATTCCAACCATCTTTTATCCAGGTCACCAGCTTAGTTTCATCAAACATAAAGTTGAAGAACTAGAAATAAAGTCAAACAATGATATTAATATGCTGAACAGATAGTAAAGAAAAAAAGGTCCCTTTTATGCCAGTAGCACCTCAGGTATATGACTCATAGTTTATAGCCAATCTCCATTTTGTGAATGATGTGGCCAACAAAACGCTAGCCATTTTGTACTCCCCAGGCCATTATCTTCTACCCATTTTAGGCTGCGTCAACCTGGGAGCCAATGTTAAATTTTCTTCTTATTATTTTTTTCTTGGCATTAACAAGCTGTTAACTCTGGCAGAAAGTGCTGGTTGTTTGTCCACTTCTGGACTTTGGTTATGTTCCAGAACCTGAGTTTTGTATGTACATCCATTTTACAGATCTAGCCTATTTGTATGTAGACTGTCGCTTCCTCATCTCTCAAGCAGATGCAGTCCGACTTCTAATTATTCACCTTTTACGATACGCTTGTTAGGAAAAAAGTGGGTCGATTCTATTTCCCACAAAATGGGCCCCTGGAACCCATACAGGTAAGGTCAATGTTCGAAAATAATTAGACTCAATGTGATTTGAACTCAAGAACTTCAAGCCAGCAGGCAAACATGTAGCCACTTAGCTACTACACCTCCCTGCTAAAGAAAAACCCATGCCTTATCAAATGCCTTTTCTAGATAAAAAAAACATATTTGCATCTCAACCCATACAAAATTGCTGATATATAATTGTGATGTCAGTGTGTAGCTGTAATGATCGAAAAATAAATGTGTTTTTCAAAATCTTAAACAGTTCGCAACATAGATATCCCCCATCCACACTGGACAGAAGGTACCGCGTATCTTTTTTATGACTTAACGGGGTTTCTTGGGGGTGTTTCTGCTTGTTTCTCATCAGAATAGTGGCTCTTTGAGTTACTGGGTGTCAATCTTTCAGGCTGCATCTCAGGAGGGAAGGAAGGATTTTTTTTTTTTAAAGTTTTTTAAAAACAGACTTCCAACAACATGGCACACTAAGGCAGCACTTAAAGTGGCTGATCTGTGTGCCCTGATTATAATTCCTTAGAATAGTATCTGGAATTTTTAATGTTGGACTGACATTCAGTTCGTGTGTATGTCTGTGTGTGTTGGTTTGAGTGAGTGTGCGTGCATGTGTGTGCATGCATACATGCATGTGTGTCTCTGTGTGTGCCCGCTCGCATCTTTGACTAAAGTGACTCCTAAAAGCCATCTGCAAAATATGTAATTTACTTTTGTACAAGAATAACTATGACATGTCTTTTTAATCCGAACATAATTTGCAAACAATGATTTTTAATATTTACTGTCTAAGCCATGGATATTTTAAAATAATTTTTTAACAACCAAACAACAACAACAAAAAGTGTGCGCCCGCTCACATCTTTGACTAAAGTGACATCTAAAAGCCATCTGCAAAATATGTAATTTACTTTTCTACAAGAATAACTATGACATGTCTTTTTAATCCGAACATAATTTGCAAACAATGATTTTTAATATTTAGTCCAAGCCATGGAAATTTTTTAAATAATTTTTCTAACAACCAAACAACAACAAAAATAAAAGTTCAATGTCGAGAGTACTGACTTTGTTGCACAAAGTTTTATCTCATATAGCTCAGTCTCAGCTCTGCAGGATGAGTTTCCATCAGCTGAGAGTTTTGCACAAAGCCTGAACTCTACAATTTTATTAACGATCCGCAGGGTTCTCTGTAAACATTGCACAGGTGAGCCTACTGACACTGCGAAATGACACTAGTGACTTTAGTGCATAAGTCAAACAGCTAAGCTTTTATGTATACTATCTTAACTTTATATATATTTGGTCTAAAAAAAATAAAAGGATCTATGTATTTGTCACTAGTAAAGAATAATCCTAAATATACTTATGACAAAAAGGTCGTTTAAATCTGTGTTTTGTATTCTTCAATAAGACATGTCATAAGAAAAAACAGTGGCTTAAATGGCATGTCTTTACATCACTGATGGTTAAAACATCATATATGGTGATAACTATAGAAAAAAAAGACACATTGATAAACTAAAACACATTAACATATCATAAGCTCACTTTATAAGCTGTGTTGCAATTCAGAAGACTAGCAAACTTCCTAAAGTGGGTGATCCCAAGTTCATCTAATCGGAAGAGTGCTAAGTATGCCAGAACTGAAATACAATAAAACATTAAATACACGACACATGCTTTATTCTATACAAACAACAAAATAAGATTCATTCTATACAAACAACAAAATAAGATTCAATCAGCATACACACACACACAAACAAAAATAACAAAGAAGAAAAATTAATATTGTTAACAGCTAGAATGCCTTTCAGCATAACAGTAAATTATTAATAACAACTTCATCACCACTACGTCAGTGCCAAACATGGGTACTGAGTAGATCAAATAAAATAACAACTAGTGAAATGTGCTGTTTCTAAAAAGTCACCAACAACACAAAAAGAGAACGGATTTAAAAAAATACTAGCATTACAGAGGAGGCTGGAACGTAGACAGTCTCTGAATTCTTTTGAAAGACAGAGAGTTGTGAGTTATAAGCTGGGTAATTTTCACAGCACTCTGAACTGTCTATAGGTGCTCAGATTTCCTTTTCAGTATATACATCAAGGCTTAATAGTGTCAGTCTTACGCTTAACAGTGTCAGTCTTACGCATAATAGTGTCAGTCTTACGCTGACTGACTAGACTTCTTATACATCTGGTGTGCCTCTCAAGCCTGGCTCTGCTGACCTTTATTTCCAGTTCTCAAATTCTTAGCGGTAACGTGGATGGCTGCTAAGAGACAAAGAATGAAGTAGTTTCACCTTCTACATAAGAACATCTGGGTGAAAGATGAGAGGAAGATCAAGCAAAAAATGGATAGACAGTATAGCTGAATCTTGCACAAAAAGTTTATCAAATCCATGCCTCAAGGTACTCGAGAAACACAAGACAAATATAGAAGACCATGACAGTGAGCTAAAAACTGATAACAGTGTGACAACAAAAGAAGAAGAAGAAGAAGAGAACCACAGTAATTTACAAATTGTTAAATTTTTCAATCCCAGGTAGTTGATACACCAACACAGTCAGTCTCTCCTACCATTTTCATACCCTAGGGCAACAACTGCTTACTGTTATGTCACTGAAAACAGTTTTGGAACATAAAAACCTACATTAACAATTGAGATAGAACAGATGAAAACAAAAAGAATTTGACAGAACAAAAAAAAAAAATAAAGGAATGTGCATGAGTAAAAAAAAATGAATATATAAATTTCTTGGTGCAAGTAACATTTTGGTTCATTAAAAGAGACCGACTTCCTTTCCCATTCATGCCTCGTCAGGTCGCAGGGCCTCTCCTATGTTGCAGGGGTGTTACAATTTAGCTTTCCTCTGCACTCGCTTGTCATATATAATGTTTGCGGGAGGTTGTGTTGTCGTAAGTCTATCTGAGGCGCCGCAGGTGCCTATTTACAAGTAAGAAGTACTGCAGGGGGAATCGCTGCAGGCGTGACAGTTTGTGAGTATAGACACTGGGATGTTTTTGTATTTCTAGGTTCATCGAGGGTGGCTTCCCTCTCCTTCTCTCAAAAAAGAGAAGCCAATGCCAAGGAATATAGGAACAGAAAAAGATAGCAGAACATGAAAATAATCATGCAAGTGAGCTGTGACAGCACAAGAAAAGAGAGAACAGTTAAAGAGTTAACAATAAGGAATACATGAAACCTCACAACACAAAAAAAAAAGGTCAGGTGACCTGACGAGGCATGAATGGGAAAGGAAGTCACTCTCTTTTTGCAGACCAAAATGTTACTTGTACCGTTCCTTGGTTGTGAAAAGAGTAGTTTTCTTCTTCATTTTTTTTTTCTTTTTCTGTGTTCACCTTAAAAGTTGAATTGTGGTTTACAGCTAGGCCTAACACATCTGATTTCAGCAAATATTGTTATCCCAAAAATAGGGCACTTGGAAACCCAATTGGGGGGGGGGGGGGGGGTCTTAAAAGGTAGACTAAATTTAGACAAAATAATATTGTGAATACTAAAAAAAAATTTTAAGTATACACACCTTTTTTTTTTACCATTAAGTAAATTTTAAATTTAAATAAAGAGTTAATTGCTGTAAAAAAAAGAGAGACAAGTTTTCCACACAAAGAAATCAGGATTTACCGAAAAGTAAAAAAAACTAGATTTAAGAATAATGATACCCCAAGAGAGATTCAGAATAATTTCATTAAAAGGGAAGAAAAAAACAATTTAATATATATTGATTACTGCGTCATCTATTGAAGGACATTACCAAATTACAGCTCTCAGTGAAATAACTCACCTATAAGTTGATTCTCACTGGATCGCAAGATTCTTTGGCCATCACTAGCAAAAAAAGGCACTGTGATTACCTTCATTATACCCTTATGGCGTACACAGCCAGAGAAGACTTCTTTAATGAAGAGCTCATCTTCAGCATCAATCTGTATGTGCATTGGGGTTTTAAAAAAAACATAAGTTTCTGTTGAATATCAGAGCAAGTCATTGTTCTACACCTTAGAACAGAGCACAATCAACTTCGCAGCCATGTGTACACAAGATACAAATTTGGCAATTCAGCCATGTGCACATGTGGTCTGGCACCTGAGACAACAGACCACATCCTCCAAGTCTGTTACAAATATGAAATATGCAAAACCTGGCAAAGAGAAACACTGGTGGAAGCTAAACTTTACAGGTCACAAAGTGAATTATAAAAGGCAGTGACGTTCATACTTGAAAAAAAAAACTACAATTATAGATAATTTATTTCAAGCGAATGAAAGAAGGAGAAGGATAAGTTTCTGTTAAATGTTATTTTTCAGCACAAACCAACGACTTTTTCAAATGTTTTCACTAATTAAAACAGTCTTGTAATTTTTCGTACCTTATTAAATTTTTTTAAAAATATTTTGTCATTACATATATCAAAACTGTTAAACAGTCAACGTAACAATCATAATCATCGCTCTCCATAGAAAAT